GGAAGAACCCCCCCCCCCCATTTTGTTCTATGTTGATCTGAGTTTTCATTCTTACAATTGGTACAAGATTTTCTTTGGCATTTTAATAAGAGGGAGCTGACACATTTTGACCCTTAGGAAATATATATTGAACAAAAGAATAAAAATTGGAGCAAGGTTATCAGGGCCTGTGAACCTGCAACTCCCTTGGCATGGAAGTCTCAAAATCGTCATGGTTGGTGAAGACCAAGAAACTGCATTTGACATTCTCACCAGAGTTTGCCACCTGGCTTCTCTAGTTCTTGAGATCCCTTGAGCTTAGTGCCCTTGATCCCCTCCCCTCGCCCCCAGGTAATGTCTTTGGTATGTATCAATTACTCATGAATAATGCCAACATTTGTTGAAAGCTTATGTTATGCCTGGAACTGAGTTAGCTGAGGGAACTGCTATTCATGTCATCACAATGAATGTTTAAAACAACCTTATGGGGGGGGAAGGGGGAGTAAGTACCGTAATTATTCTCATTTTACAGATGAGGACAGTTGAGATTTAGAGAGAACAAACAACTTGCCCAAATTCACACAGGCAGTGAGAGCAGCGAACTTCTGCTGGAGGTGTCCCACTCTGGTTATATAGTGATCTCTACATTCTACCATGTGTGTATACAGACTTGCCAAGGGGCTTTGGTGACACAGTTGCCATCCAGAAAGTGACAAACAGTTGCTTACATAAGCAACAGATTGTTAGAAGATGCAGCTTTCATCCAAACTAAGAGATCAGAGGGAAGGCTCCTACTGAGACCTCACCAACTTTATCAGTTCACCTGCCCACGACCCCCTCATGGAAACCCCTGGAAATGACTTCTATGCACACCTCTGAACTATGCCCTGAAGACTCGGCTCAGAAGCTTATCAGATAATTTGGGGGGTAGAGCTGGTACAAGAAAAAAAACAGTAATAATACAGGGGATCAAATGCTAAATGACAAAGGTGTGATGCTCACCGTGAGTGCTATGGGGACTCAGGAGCCACTCCCAGGCTGCAAGCAAGGAGGTGCAGATAAGGAGCGGACCCTGATTAATTTGTGCTGCTGGCTGGTAGTGCCATTGTCCACATTTCCCCGGCCGTTGTACCAGCCAGCAGAGAGGCAATGGCTGAGCTGTTTGTTCGAGATGCTTGTGGCAGTGTTGCCTGCTTTGTTTCCGATTGGCGTAAGAATTTTTATGCTGTAGCTTTTCTTTGATTCTGGGAATTGGAGTCATCTGAGCTGGTGAGCAGTCCATTCTGCCGCCTAGAGCAGGCAAAAAACGGGCGACCCGGGAAAGAAGAGTGCTGTGAGGGAAGACTAGCCTGCTCCAGCCAGGTGGGTTGTCCCTTCTTCCTTAGCACACTCAGGGAGGAGCAGAAAGGAACCCGCAGGCTTCTGACTCCGTCTATGGGACGGTCTGGGACACATCTTGCTATTTTTATTTTTATTTACAACACAAACCTTTGTTTCACTGTGTATTCTGTCAACTTCTGGGCACAGGAAAGGTAGACAGGTAGGGACCAGGAAAGGTGACTGGAGACTCTAAGCTAATAAATATGCTGTCCTTCAGGAATGGGGTAGAAGGGAAAAAAGGGGCCTGTCTGCCAATGGACTTGACAGAGGTCAGCCCCAGGGAGGCTGCTTATAGTCTTCAGGTTCTAGCTCACACCTGTGTCCAAGCACCCCCTCGCTCTCATCAAATCTATTATCTGACCTTGTAGGTCGGCGGGCGGTGGCCGAAAGTGTGCCTCCCTAGATAGTGGCGGGACTGGGCTCGCCGATGCTCCAGCTCCTCCCGCTTCTGCCGCCCGGCGAGGGCGCAGGTGTGATTGTGGCCCAGGGGTGTGGGCACCGGGGAGCAAGTAGTTAAGGTGGGGGGCGCCTGGGCGAGTCGTCCAATACCGAAGAACAGCAGTTTGCCAGAGTTAACGTGGGCAGATTCTTTGGGTAGGGAAGGAAGGAGGACCGTCTGCCAAGCGCCAGCTCGCCCCCCGCGGGTGTGCGCGCGCGCGAGTGTGAGTGCACGCGCGCGCCCAGGCGTTCCTCAGGTTGCGCTGCCTGGAAACCAAGGGAGCTTGGTTATTGGCAAGGCGACGGAGTGGGGGTGGGGGCCCCCGACCCCCGGAGCAGCGCGGCGCCCGCTGCGGAGCCGAGCCCTGAACCCCAGCTCCCAGTGCGAGCGAAAGCAGAACAGGGTGGGCGCTGCGGGCGGCCTCCAGGCCCCGGGGGCTCGCCGGGGAGGAGCTGGGAGGAGGCCGAAGCTGCATGGAGTTTCTAGGGCGCGCAACTCCGGCGGGGCCTCGGCCACTGGGCTCCGGGGCGCTGCGAGGCAGCCGCGCACATGGGCTGAGCCCGCGCGCCCGG